GAAAATTGATACCGTGTCAAGAGGGATGTATTTACCTGAGGACGCTTGGTACATGCATTATTCGAGTGTTCCAATTTCCCTCTCAAATATACAGTGTGCATTTATTTGTCGTCCTCCCGGCTGTGGAAATGTTTCTTGAAATTCAGTATGCGCTAAAAAGTACAAGCAGCGACGGTCTAACTGCGGCATCCGATTCAATTTCACGTTTTGTGTCGGGGACCAAATCGCCGTGAACTTATCTCGTCATCGCCTCGCCACGCGCCACCTTCAAAGCCCAGTCTGAATGCATATATGCTTTTGATCCAATATCTCAGCCCCCTTTATCATGTTGCAGCGGGATTATTGGGATCACTGTCTGTCGGAAGCAATCTGAGGCCCCCCGATGGAAGCATGACCAGCCAAACTCTGTTTTTCTGCTTGGTTAATCTGACAGCACCTTCTGAGGAGATCCAATTAAATCTCTCCTTCAAAGAATATGTGACTGCCGGAGCGGGGATGAGATGAGAAGGATGGGCGGAGAGGAAAAGGGAGGGAGGACGGGGGTCTCTTCTGTTTTAATCATTCCAGATCAGTGTCACACTATTTAACCAGCCCCCTGCATGCACACCAAACACAAGAATGTGTTTGGGAGAATAGTGGAGATTAAAAAGCTTGTGAGTGATGCGTGGAGAGGATGCATGCGGGCCACGAGGCTGAACTGATAAACACATCATATATCTGTTGATTAAAGGTGATAAGATGAGAAACATCGAATCCGACTCATCAGCGCCTTTAATTAAAGGGATAAGCACAACTTTCATGGTGACAAACTGTGTTTGCGCCACTAACCGAGCCTCACAATGTGCTGGAAACATTGTGTACATTTAAAGCCATCCTTATTGATAAGTCATAACACTCAGGCTACATTTGTGATGCAGTTTATGAGTTTAGAGAGCACTCCTGATGCTGAAACCGGCAGTGAATATTGATCAATTTTCTCGGGTGAACTTCTGCAGAGTGAGATTTCATCCTTTCTGTGCAAATAAATTGGTTCCCCAAATAGAATAACACTCACCCTGCAATATCCCCATGTGAGGTAGCTGACACGGGGTGCAGTGTGCATGCCAGGACAGTAGTGGGGAGCGTACAAAAGTATTAGTATTTCTTTGACTTTGGGTTTTAACACAGTAAATTTGTTTCAGTTTAGGAAAATCACATTCCACACTTTTTTGTAGTTGAAATAAATTCACTTTCTCGATTCACGGCAGTTGTTTAGTCAACAAATTGTCACATGGTTTAATTTTCTACATCATGGTTTAATTTCAGTTTATGTCATTTCAAAGTCATACTTAACGTTTTGTTCGTCTTTGCTCGAGCTCACCTGACAAAAGGCTGTCTGTATCTCCAAGATACGCCTCTTAAGCCCTACCCACAAGAAGTAGGTCCCCATTAAGCAGGAAGCAAGGAGAAGCTTGGACCTTTGATTCATTGTAAAACTTTTGTGTTTCATTTTTTAGTCAGTACAAAGTATTTAGTTTTTTTTTCTGTGAATAGCTGTTTTTTTCTGAGTTTGTTAGATGTTTAGTTTGTAGTCACCTTAGTTTCCCCCTTGTGTTTATGTTAGACAACTACTTTGTCTACCCAAACCCCCAACAAGTATCACTTAGCAGGACTGTTTGATTGTGTTTGTTAGGTTGTAACTTTGTTTTAATTGTTTTTTTTTGTTTGTTTTTTTTTCCGAGTTGACCTCTTTTGGTGTGGGCCCAGATTTAGCTGATTTTCTACCACATTAAAGGGATATTCCGGCGTAAAATTAATTTAGGGTCAAACACTCCGCAACACCAAGAGATGAATGTTGCCGACTCCTTGCTTCTCTAGTTATACCAACTTTAGTAACGACCGCACAATAGCAATACACAGCGGTCTCAGGAGCCACACACAAGACTCAACAAATATGCCACTCAATAGCCACAAAAAATGCTCAGAACAGCACTTAACTTCATCAACAGTACATATAAGGTCCTAGACACAGCACTAGCCACCAAACATCTTTTTAACTTTGCCTAATTTCTTTAGCAAAGAGACTAAACACAATTCACCTACTCTCTTCCAGCAGCTTGTTTGTAGCGGACCTCAGTCCAGCCCATTACGGACTCCAGTGGGGTGACACAGCTCAAGGAAGAACATTTATTATCATTACTTTATCCTTTCCTGGAAGTAATAATCACCATATTAACAATTTTGCACTGCAGAAGCGGTAGATCTTCTGCCTTAGCGTCTCGGTCTGATTGCACTTCCATGAAGGAAGGATTATAAATGATCTTCCTTGAGCTGCGTCACCCCGCCTCAGTCGATGATGGACTGGTCGAGGTCTTGCTACAAACAAGCATCTGCTGTAAGAGAGAGGGTGAGTTGTATTTCGTCTCTTTGCTAAAGAAATTAGGCAAAGTTAAAAAGATGTTTGGTGGTTCGTCCTTTGACTGGTTGCTCGGTCCCTTACAGGATCCTGGTTGGCATTTTCAGTTGCACAAGATGCCATACCTGTAAAAATGAATGCCCAAAACATTCATTCCATCAAAACCAGTTACCTGTGCTGGTCGAACTGAAGCCAGTTTAAAGCTATCACAAATCTACAGCTCATCATTCCCTCTAAATTTGCCTTTCCCGATGACCTTGAATTTTCTTTTATAAATTAATTGAATAGTCCAGAATTGCACCTTCCTAGAACATCTGCAAGGTCTTTGATTAATGGTGTATTTTGGAATGCTAGTTGAAAAAGATGGCATGTTAACTCAAATCTTCATGAGCATTTCCCATCTCTGAAAAAGAAGAAAATGTCGAATTTATGCATCACTACATCATCCTTAACTTATTTCCTGTCTCCGTGCCATCCTCCAGTCATCTCGTACTCAGCGGTGCGTGCAGGAAGCAGCCCCTGCCAGAGAGAGCGGCCGGTAATTATAACACATGCGACAGGTATTTTTCTGCTAATTAATTTGGGGATAAGCAGGCGGCCGTGCACGTTTCTCACTTTATTAAGCAGTTGTGGTAAAGTGTTGGCAGTTTAGAGTGTGGCCTACTTTTCAAAGCCCGTCGGGACGCATGCATGATGAAGAGTGAAGACTGAAACTTGCAGATGAGACATCCAGATTGATAGATGGATAATTGAACATATTGGGAGCGTGCTAAGGACCCTGCGTCCATTTGAACTTGTCAAAGCTGAGATTCCCCCGCAAAGTATCAAGCCTCTAAAGCTCCAGAGGTGCTGACTGCGACATTATGGTGTTTAGACCCTCATCGTCTTCTCGCTCATCCTCACATTTGTGCAGAAAAAGCCTCTTAGGCCCCAAAACGGCTTTAATAGAAACTCCTTTTTTTTTTCTTCTTTTAGCTCAGAGTGTACACTGAACATTTCACCACAGCTAAAGAGATCCAGAACACTAATGTAATGGTTCCCCATCACAGCGTGACAGCTGCTGGGAACGAGGCACTGTGACATCCTGCAGAGTGGATAGTCCACAGTGGAATGATCCCCCACCAAATCTCCAAATAACCTCTAATTGTCAGAGGGAAGTGTGGCCATTTTCCCCAACAGTCTGCAGCATGCCTCTTAACAAACATTGGAGGCTCATCCAAGTTCTTCAGGTTTTTGAACAGAAACATCCCCCATCACTGTATTTATGACAAGTTTAGCCTCAAATTTGCTAGATTTGTTACCTTACACCTCTCGATTGCATCCAGAGGCTACGAAAGTGCAGCAAAGTCAAAGACAGCTGGCTGTTTTGTATTTGTATTTGTATTAATTTATTTAGCACAGATTAAAAAAAGTGCAAGTGGGGAACGAGGCTGATATGCTTATACAGAGTTCCAATCCTGTCAAAGCAGTAAAGGCATAGGGTGCAAACAACAAAGTAATTTGGACATAGACAGGTTATGAATATAGAATGACTGGGGAAAGGTCAAAACATATACAAATTGTCATAAATAGAACAAAGACTAATCATCAACCAGCCCAACCAGTGATAGAGAAATTGTAAGTATACATAAGAAGAAAAGAAACATGAACATAACAGATAATGACGTGTTTGAGGTCGTGTTCACACCTAAAGGTCCGTTTCCTGATTCGAATCCAAGGCAAGACGAGACATTTGTTTTGATTGTTCAACTGGTCCAGTTTGCGTTCACAAAGGACAAACTCACTCGCTCCAGAAAACAGAACCGGAAGTCACGTGACCGCGAATATCGTTTGGTTATTGGTCATCAGTATATGCGTGATGCAAACAACAGACGGGTAAAGATGAGACAGCGACAGGCATTAATGAGAGCCTACCACGATGCGTTTTCTCTCTGGTGTCAATCGGGACAAGTGAGGTGAGCGGACAATATGAAATGACGTGTGTGGTGTGTTTCCTGTGATTGGTGCGGATGATGTTCACACCAGAAATGAACCGCTCCAGAGTTCACTTGATAGCGGTCCGAGACCACCTCTTCAGGCGGACCAGAGTTCGTTTATTTGGTCCACACCAGAGTTCGAGGTCAGCGTTCACACCGACCCAAACGAACCGCACCAAGGGGGTAAACGCTCCAGGGTTCGGTTCAACCGGACTAAACGAGGGTGGTGTGAATGCGCCCTTAGACATGATTAGATGTGATTTCAATAATATTTTAAAGGATTTGAAGGATAATATTGATTTTAGAGATACACCCAGATCATTCCATAGTTTCAGTCCTCTAAAGGTGATATTAGCCTGATGACAAGAAGTTTGACAGGAAGGTAACTGAAGATTATTTTGTCTTGTTGAGTATTGGTGAAGGCCAGATGGTTGGGTGTTACAAACACCGAACCAGTGTCTGAACTCAGCGACCACTAAACACCAGTCTTAGAGGTGTAAAATGGCCATTCGCTGCTTTGCAACTGATTCCCAATTACCCATGAAATTTAAAACTTGTGCACTTTGGTTTCTCCAAGGGTGAGAAACACAGCTCATGTCACTTTGGCTTTCTGTCTGCCGCTGTGTCCACTGAATAAATTACATGTTGAAGATTCCCCACAGTTTATTGACCGACAACACCAGGAATTAATCAGAGGCAGATCATAAAGCTGGAGAAAGGTTAATGAACTTGATTCATCAGACAAACTGCCTTGTGAAGTACTCAGTTTTATTGTTAATCAATCATTCAAATAGTAAAAAAAAAGGCCTTTAACCTGTCAAATAAAACCTACCTGCTGGATTTATTCAAAGAAACTGAAAAAAACAAAGATTGATCCCATCTCTTATAAACATGTAAACGACTGTTAGGCTGTTTTAATGTACTCAATAGATCATTTATATTACATTACAGTGGGCTTGGCTTGAATGCTTTAGATGGGACAGAAATGTGCACATAAATAATTTACACATTTTTTCAACTCATGGAATCTGCACAATTTTTTAAAGCATGAGTTTTGCACATTTTTCGCACAATTAAAATTATGTAAATCATTGCATATGAAACATTTTTGGGCATGAAAACAACAATTTTACACATGTTCTATTGTATCCAAAAATTTGGCTCACTTCTATCGCAAATGAGAGCTTTTTACATTTTCCATCACACAAACAAAGGTTGCACATCTACTATAACATCACAGTTTTGCCCATGCACAAAGTTTTTTTCACATTCAATATCATGCATAAAAACCTAACATGCACTACTGCACAAAAAAAATGCACATTTACAATTCACTATCAACACTTTCAAACAGCGATAGTCTCACATGGTAATCTTTGCACATTTGTTGCAGTGTAAAATAATACATGCAAACAATGGCGCTTTTAACGTTTTGCACACCTTCGACATGAAAAAATACAGCGTTGTTGTGTATTAAAATGTTGCTTTATTGCACTTAAAATTTTACAATGTCCTTTATTCATTTTTTGCACATACAATTTCATACCTGAATTTTTGTATATCAATCATTGTGCATAAAATTTGCACATATACGATTGCACAGGGAAATTTTGCACATTTAAATTTGGGTTTTTCTTTTGCACTTTGTGACTCTGCACAACAATTCTGCCTCATCTAAGTTATGCACATGTACCTTTTTATTGCCCACGGCAATTTTGCACATTGATTGTTGCACTTTGTAATGTTTTACTAAATGTTTTTTTTAATTGTTGCATATTTTATAATACTGGGTTCACACAAAAATTTTGCACTTGAACTTTTGCATAGGAAATTTTGCACATAGACTTTTCCATAGGAACATTTTGCACATCCTTTTCTGTACATGAAAATTTTGGATATATACTTTCGCATCAAAAATTGCACAAGAACTTTTGCATAGACAAATTTTGCACAACTGTTATTGTATGTGAAAAATTTGGATTATCTTTTGCACGTTACAATTTTGCACATCCCCACTGCACAAGGCGACGTCAAACTGACATCCATTTAATGTAATTTTTCGACGAAGAGGTACAAACGTGGACATCATTTCCATGTCTAAAAGAGGTCTATTAATGATGTCTAAATCTTGGATCCATTTTGCATGTTGTGCCGATGTCTAGATTTGATCTTCAGATGATGTCTAAATTCTAAACGTCAGAGCAACGTCTAAAAAACGTCCAATTTGTACATCGAAATTTCTAACCTATTTTGCACGTCGCACTGACGTCGAGATGTGGTCTTTGACGGACCGACCCAATACTGATTTGATCTGCATGTCTCTTTAACGTCCGATGTTTGGTGGGTCTATAGTTGCACATGAAAATTTCCTTTACCTTTATTGCATGTAAAAATTTGACATTTTGGCATTAATATTTGCATTTAATGGTATTGTTTCATATTTAAATTTTATTTGAATGTGAGTGAAATATGCCTTACAGAAAATGGTGCCCACAGGATGATGTAGGAAGAGTATTAAGGTTACAGCAGCAGCTAGTATGACGCCAGCGTGTATTTGAATCCAAGAAAGAGAATACGGAAATGAGCTGTGGGACTTGTATCACTGCAACTCAAGTTGTCACTGTTAGGAACCATCACTTAACACTTTATGCAAATATGAGTTAGATCTCGATGACTATATGTGTCACAGGTACACAATATTAACAACTAACGACCTGCCAGGGGGAAGTGAACCACAGAACACACGTGAAGCATGCTTGGGCTTTAACTGCGCCTGAGGGGTTTGGGTGGCGGTGTGGAAATGTTAAGCTCGCCCTGCTTGCACACATTGGAGGCTTAACCAAAAAACATCAACAGCCTGGAGACTTTCTTGCAACATTTGGCCGGGGAGATGCAGGGTATTTGTGTTCAACAGCAGTGACTAAGACATACTGTACTAGAAAAATGCACCAGCAATACGCCTCTGTTAGCCTGAGAAACTTCCACACTGGAGATATTCTTTATCTGCAAACATGTACAAACACAGTTTTGTCGCTGCATGAAAAGAAATCTTTGTTCCAAGACAACACAGAGATGCAATTTTTTTTCTCTTTTTTCATTCCCTGTTTCTGTACGGTTCCCCCCTCCTTGGCTGCAAAGTGACAGCACATTTGCATGACGGAAAAAGAAACACGGGCTCTTTGATATGCCTCTCTTCTCCGTGATTCTACCCCCTTAGTTCCTCTCGCAGGCCCCTGCTCACCAGGGACAGATAATTGTCGGGAATCTTGCTCCTTCTTCTTCCTCGCTCCTCTGCTTGCCAGTAATGATGGCAAGCCTTTTGAGGTGCAACAGGGCCAGCGGACCAATTACAGATTCTGAGTTCAGCCGGCTTCAGAGGGGGAAGGTATAGAAGGACCACAGTACCGCACTTTGTGAGGTAATAGCAGAAGTCAGCCATTAGCAATTGGTCAAGATCTCTCCAGGTTCATTCTTTTACAAATACGAGTTCTTTGATTACGAAGGCTAAGAAAAGAAGACATGATTGGAAATTAGTGGATTCGAGTCGATCCAGGCGGTAGAGATTTAGGCCTCACGCCGTTTTAAGCTTGATAATCCTCCAAACACAAAGCCTGGACCGCCCTCTCAAAGGAAGATAATCAATTACAAACGCAAAACCATAATCAGGGTTTCTCCAAAATCTTCCGAACAAATGGGTCAACATGTTGTGTTGCATGAATAATAGCTCACCCCTACCACTTCCTCCCGCGTCGTCCTCACTCTACGCTTGCACACTCTCTTTTTCTTCCTCCCCCCTCTCCCCCCATTCAATCACTCTCCCCCCTTTCCACCATGCACTCGGGAATGAATGCCTCAGCTGCAGATTTCCATCAGACTTGTGAAATGAGTGCCAAAAACAAAGCTCGCAGCTGGGTTTTTTAACCAAGGGAAGCCTTTTGTCTTTGAGACAACTCGCCGTACCATCGCTATGTCGTCTCATCCAGCCGGGATTCTTTAGCTGAAAGATCGGCCTCCTCATGAGACACAAGGTTTGAGTATTCAATTCTGCCACATGCATTTACAAGAAGTCACATACTCACGATAAGGCCAGTGGCTCAAAACACAAGACATTTTGATTATCCTACAAGGCAGCAGCAGGGACAAGAAAAGGATTGGCAGGGGGTTGACGAAAAACCAGGCCAAGTTCTCTTGAAATATCAAAGCTGAGAGTGAGTTTTTAACAATGCACATGAGTCAGGGCCCAGGTGTGTGCTTTGTGAGTTAATGCACTAACAGCCCTTGAAGATAAAGCTCTACCTGTCTGCAATAATCTCAGGAAGTCCAGGGTTTTACTTCTAAAATCTGCAGACGTGTCTCCTTGAGTTTTGTGATCCTCTGCCAGCCACTGAAGACTTTGCTTTGCAGTCTGCAGTTGTGAATTCTTAAGTTCAGCCTGATGGTCTTCAACTTCATGGGTCAGAGCTTACTGCATTTGGATGAAAGGCTTGACCTAAAGTGGGTTGGTCAAACCAAGGTTTTAGGGCCTGAGTCCACCTAGCTTCATTAAATATTAACCAGTGTGGCTGGGTGTGTCCAGTTTCATGAGCAGTGGGATTAAGGACCCTGACTCTTTGTCCAGTTGCAGGACCCCATTTTTTAGATCTGAGTTGTTGCATGAGAGTTCAAGTCCTTGTTGCATGTGTCCAAGCTAAGTCCTCATAACTTGTATTTGAATGTAGGTAAAGTCCTCATAAACTCAGCCTCAGTCTGAGTCCAAGTTGAGGACTTGTTACATATATTTGAGTCCAGGTCAAAATTGAGTTCCCATTGCCTGTGTCCAGCCCAAGTCTAAGTTAAAGGGATATTCCATCGTAAAATTAATTTAGGGTCAAACACGTCATAACACCAAGTTAGACACCCCCTTGAGAGATGAGTGTTGCCGACTGCTTGCTTCTCTAGTTATACCAATTTAGTAACAACCGCAAGATAGCAATACACAGTGGTCTGAGGAGCCATACACAAACCTCAACCAAAACACCACTCTATAGACACAAATAATGCTCAGAACAGCACCTAACTTCATCAACAGTTCATATAAGGTAGCACTAGCTACTGAACATCTTTTTCTTTCCTGATTTCTGTAGCAAAGAGACTAAACACAACTCACCCACTCTCTTCCAGCAGCCGTTTGTTTGTAGAAAGACCTCAGGCCAGTCCATTACAGACTGCTGCGGGGTGACGCAGCTCAAGGAAGAACATTTATGTTTATTTCTTCATGAAAATGCAATCAGAACGAGGTACTAAAGCAGAAGAACTACCCCGTCTGCAGTGCAAAATGATTATTTTGGTGATTATTACTTCAAAGAAATGTTCTTCCTTGAGCTGCGTCACCCCACAGTTATGCCGGAATACCCCTTGAAGTCTTCTTTATATGTGCGCAGTCATAGTTACATCCTCATTCCTTTATGTACAGTAGGTCTACATGTAGGTTGAGTCCAGGCCAGGCCACTATAGTCCAAGTCCAAGCTTATTCTTTATTACTTGTGTCTGAGTCTAAGTAAGACCTTATTACTCATGTCAAGTCCAAATCAAAGTTTAGTCCTCTTTATGTGTGACCAAATGCAAGTCAGGTCCTCAGTGTCCCAGGCTGAGTCAAGTCCTTGGTACCCCAAATTAAGACTTTATCTTCATGCTTAGATTGCAGTCCAAAGTCACTGTAGTTTTTATTTAGACAAAAGGCGTGTGTAGCTCACAGCTTGGCAAATTTGCAGAGAAAGTGCTGTTACTTTAAGGTGTCTGCAGGCTGCAGCTCCTCCTTTGGGATGGTGATGAAATAAATGCCCCTGAAAGCAATAAACACAGACAAATGAGGGTAGCCAAAATTGTGCACAGGGGGAATTTGTACTTGAAAGTACTTCAAATGCTTTCCCAAAAGTCATCAGTCTCACAGAAGATAATACAAGGAGAGGGGGAAAAAAAGGGAGAACAAGAGCGATTATTACTGATTACACGGTGGGCAGACCCTTTCGTCTTAGAGTGTATGTTTCTGAAATACCTCCTCGACATTTAAGAGGAAGTTTTTGAGCAACAAGTTCATCACAGACACCTGTAATTTGATTCTTTAGGAATTAAATTTGTCCCTCTGGGTGAAAAGTTGAACTCTTTGAAATCCCCAGATTAATTTCAGTTGAATTAGTTCAAGTGGTTTCAAGGTAAATTAGATGGTAAAGAGTTTCTTTAGGGACGTTTTATGTTTCCAATCCACAGGGAGCTGTAAATTAACAGAGGGATTCTCAAATAATTGAACATTGAAGCAGCTTTGATCAGAAATACAGCCTTAGAGGCAGCAATAAGAAGGTTTCAGAAAGTTTCGTTGTGATCCGGCCGAGTTTTTATCAATCGCAGAATCAATCACACTTAGAATCAATGTCTGCAGATATGAGTCCCTGCTGTTCGCCTGTGCTAATCAACATATTGCAGAATGTGCGGCCTTGCCGTGGGGAAGGTGGCAGAGTGGGGACTGCGGGGCTGGAAGCAGAGGCGGAAAAAGAAGCAAAAGATCTTCAAAGCATCTGCTTTACAAGTCTGATGTATTCTCACTCGCTGTGTTAAAATCCTTTGTGTCTCATTAGGGCTGCGATTTTGGGACGGTGCCTTTGTACACTGGACAAATTCTGTTTGAAATGCAAGGGGGGGAAAGAGATCTCTCTCTCCACAGCTGACAAACCCGTGGGATCAAGCTTTGTTAGTGTAAAGAAGAGGGTCACTTATCCCAATCAATGGCTGACTGATTCTGTCAAACGTATGGCAAAGTTAACATGCATAATAACGGTGATGAAGGTAGAACCAAACTGCATATTTGTATCTTAAAATAAGCAGTTGTAGACTACCTACATTGAAAGAAAGGAGACTTTGCACAGTCCTACTTGATTTGAAGGGTAGCCAATTGTTTTGAGAATGGGTAGCACTGACTGGAAGTTGCTCCGGAGTATAAGTCGCACCAGCCAAAAAAAATGCATAATGAAATAGAAAAAGCATATACCGGTAAAAGTCACATTTTTGGCCGGAAATTTATTTTACAAAATCCAAGACCAAGAACAGACATTTCATCTTGAAAGGCAAGTTATAATAATAATCCAGCCATCTAGCTTTTAGATCGCGATTAGCTTTTTTTTTTGTTTTGTTTTGTTTTGTTCATCATAGTAAGAGTAACCTCCGCTTTTCTCAAGTCCCTCACAAGTTTCTCGCTCACTCCGAACTCTCTCTCTGCTGCTCGATTGCCGTTTTTGGCTGCATATTTCACTACTCGCAGCTTGTAACCTGCAGAATAAAATTTTCTTTTTGGTGGCATTTGTGCCTAGTCTTTCTCAAGTTAACGTTAATTTTTAAATATTCAGTAGTACAGCCTAGGGTGCCCTCTAGTGGCTGTCAGTGGGAAAATAACAAACGTGCGAAACTATATATTTTAATAAGTCGCTCTTGAGTATAAGTTGCAAACCCAAATTATGAAAAAAAAGTGCGACTTATAGTCTGGAAAATACGGTAATTGAATGATAACGAGTAGCAATGATTAATGCATTTGTGGGGATGCATTTGGGTCCTAGCTGAATATTTATATGCACAATATTTTGTAGTATTGGCAGTGATTCCAGGTGGTCTGGCACAAGACATTTGTATTCTAGTGAGGGAAGGTAATTGTCAAACAAATAATGAGCAATGATATTGGAAGAACCCAAATCCATAAATGCGGGTTTTCATTTGGGATCAGGCTTCATATGTTGACCATTTCCCAGACATGTCAGGTGTCAATTTTTGCAGAATCAAAGGTGATTCAGAGAGGACCCTAATTCCATTTTGCATCAAGAAATATGCATTAGGGATCTAACTGTATGGATAGGCAAGTAATTGTCGAAGGAATGAGTAGCAATGATTCAGGAAGGACCCAAATGTGCATATGCACATGTGCATTCTGGTTTTTGTTACATTTTCAGGTTGTTGGCATTTTGTATATTTAGTAGCAGTGATTTAGAAAGGGCCCAAATGTCTTTTGGCATCTACAAATATGCATTTGGGTCCTAGCAAATTTGTTACGGACAAGAGAATGAGAGGCAATTATTCAGGCAGGACTCAAATGTGTATTTGCAAATTGAAATACCCTTGGAGTCCCACACAAGTTGTCATGTAGGTAATTGTTAGGCAGATTAGTAATGATTTTTGCAGGACCCAGATGCGCATCTGCATTTAAAAACCTCAATGTACATCACATTTAGTTGCTGTCATGACAGGATTTGATATTGTTGATTTATTTGTGTTGAGTTATCCGCACAATACCTGGGATTGTAAATCAGTGAGGACAAAGTTTAATTACTGGCAGCTGTTAGAGGAGAACATGAGCAGTCAAAGCCGGGAATCACAGCAGACATGCCCGCTGTTTTCCATGCTGAGCTTAAACCTCTAAGCAAACATTGCCCTGCAGTGACACAGAGAAATAGAGATTTGTGCAACCACCGGCCCAATTCACACTTAGCCAGCAACTTTGAACTCATCCAGACATTACCCTGAAGGAGCTGCAAGTGAGAACATGAATGTCTGAACCAGCCCAGGCGTTCCATGTATTGTCTGATTGAGTAGACAGCGACCGGAGAGGGTAATTATTTGTTGAGCCAAGGCTTCATATGTAGACATGTCAATATAATGTGTAAGACCACATGAAGCAGTTACAGAAGTGTAGTTATGCTTGTTTGCTTTGCACTTGTTCCTATAGTGGATATGTCAGAATAAACTGTATGTATTATTGATATCAACACCACCTTAGGGGATTTCCCGTTGCTGAGAAGGCAATCGACCGAGTCTAAGTCTCTGGAGATCGTCTGGAGTTCATCCAGTAAAGGAAAGCAGCTGCAGATTCCAAGTAATTGGCAGAGTGATTTTTGTCGTTGTTTGAAAAGTAACCGTGGAATATGAAATTAAGTTTTTCAGTGTGTTTTTTAATGGACTATGTGCTTCCTTTTGAATCTTATTAACAACAACAACATGACCAATAAGGTGCTCCCCTTAGAAACCAACATTTTCATTCAGGAAATCTACAGAAAAGAAATTAACAAGAATTTAAAAAAACAAAATTGAAGTATTCTCAGTGGAGATTGAACCACTCTCAACACCAAGCCACAGAGAAGTCTTAACTAAAATGTGAACTTTTGATCTTTTTTTTTCTCTTGGCAAGTTTTATTACCTATAAACTCCCACTTCTCGCTGTGTCAGTGTGAACTTTTGATCTTTTTTTCTTGTTGTCTTTTGGCAGGTTTTATCTCCCACAAACTCATACTTTTCACTGTGTCAGCAGGGGCAGCTGAGCATAAGATCATACACTTTGGTTACACCTTGTTCCATCCAAAAAGGGAGTCTATTGATGTCAGCAATGTCAGCAGTTTTCTGTCAGTGTACTCTGAAGTATTTGCTGTAAATTTAGTTAGTTAATTATTGGGTACTAGTTGCATTACTTTCACGGTAATTTCCTGTAAATATTTCGCAGTAATTTATTGTCAATTACGATGAAATTAGAACAACTAAAGCTAAGTTAGAGCCCCATGATCAAGAAATTACTATGTAGAAAGAAGCAAGATATAGGTATAGATTTGGTCGAACATATACAAACTAAGGTTTTTGTAACAGTGTACACCTGTGAAAGCTAGGCCGTCTCATTGAAGCTGGATGTTGTGTCCAAGTCACCAAATCCATTTATCCCAAAACTGATAAAAATGTACCCAAAGCAGGGATTAAGATTTTTGGCTGATTTATTCATGTGAGCAATAGGATCAAACTCTAAAGCTCTTGGAGCAAACAGAAATTAATCAGCCCAGAATCTTGATTTCCACGCTATCAGCTGCTGCAAGAGTTGCTGAGCCTGACAATATATTGCACGATCACACAGTTTTTAATGTCAAAACTTTAAGTTAACGAGAAGGAGAGGTGAAAAATAAAAGGCAGCCTGTGGTTTATATGGCAGCGAGTAAGAGGCCCCCTATCAATTAAAGCTTATACAGCCAGAACTATACAGCTCGGTTAGATGTTTACAACCCAGGTTCCCAGCATTTACAACTGTGACAGGATCAGCAGCAAATTAAGTCATATAAACATCAATGCCCACAGCAATGCAGCATTGACATCAAGAGAAACATCAAAAATAGTGATTAAACATTGACTACCTTTGCTTTGAACAGTACTAACAATATCAAGTATAATGGCAGCCCGATTATTGTCAACTCGGACAGCAAGCCCAACAGCAACAATGGCGATGATGGCAACAAACAGAGTGGCAATATTGAAATAATTATGGCCATGGTAGGGAAGCATCAATAGCTGCTGCTAATTTAAACAACAGCAATAAGAATGTTACTGGCGGTGAAATGCAACAGCAAAAAAGTATTACCACTATCAATGAGAGGAGGAACAATGAGAGAAATGGAGGTCATGGTACAGAACAGCAAATACATAGAAACAGTGAGCAGAACCAAAACAACAACCAAGACTTTCAGCAGCCAATTGCAAAAACTAATTTATTACCTTCGCCAAGGAGGTTATGTTTTCGGTAGCGTTGGTTTGTTTGTTTGTTTGTCTGTCTGTGAACAACTTTACGGAGAAAGTTACAGACGGATTGACCTGAAATTTTCACCAGAGGTGCGTCTCAGCCCCAGGAGGATCCCATTACATTTGAGTGGTGATCCAGATCGTCTGCTGGATCCAGGACTTTTTTGAAGGATTCTTTATCATTGTGAGACAGGGCAAATTTTGGAATTTTTGCATTTAACTCTATAAAAATGGCCAGAGTCTTAAGTAAAAAATTACACAAAAGGATCTCAATGAATTTTATGAGGTGTCAAAGGTTGATCCTGATCCAGACAAAATTCCGGATACTGTGATCCAGAACCCAAAAAAATAAGGGTGTCGCTGGAATTTTCAGTGCTGAAAGATAACCAATGGGCGGCACAGTGGTGTAGATGGGCGACACAGTGGTGTAGTGGTTTGCGCTGTCGCCTCACAGCAAGAAGGTCCTGGGTTCAAATCTGAAACACAAATAAAAGTTAATAAAAGACACGAAACAGTCAAAGTTTTGGTGTGAATCACAATATAAGGGGGGACATGAGCTGCATGGCGGAGGTCTGCGCTCTCAGAGTGCTTTTCTAATTTTAACTGTTTTACCTTTTTTGAATCATATTTCACAAGTTATCCCAACTTGAATCCCCGATCTTACATCTCAAACCAGTTCGTATTAAAAATAAGAACCATTTATTGCCAGTGTATTGATTTGAAAATCAAAAAAGGGTTCAATCAAGTTTTAAAAAGCGCAGTGGTGTTATTTGGTCATGGCAGCTTGAGTACAGTGTGTCAAAAAGGACAAAATGGTGAGCAATTCAGAAATCCACAATAACGTTGGAGTTTTATCACAAAGGGCAAAAGGCAAAATGGGCATATTTAGCGATATAGTGTAGTAGATTCCAACAACATAGCTGGGCTCGTCTTGGAGTTTCAAAGTCAAGGTTCCCTGTAAACAAAGACACACTAAGCTCATGTTTTGTGGCTTGAAGTGTTTTGTGCCCAAGTCGACAAACGACTCAAAGCCCTAATTAGGTTTCAACGACTTGTGTAGTACTCTGAACCTGCCCTTTACATTTCCTTTCTATTCATTTCTCTCCTCTCTTCTGTAATTGCACTAAGGCTGCCTGCTCATTTATTCCCATTCAGTCGTAACTGGGCTCAAAAGGAGGGCTCATTTGCAGCACACTCCATGAAAGGGAGTCTTCTGTGGTTCATTGTGATCACGGGGTGTTACCTTAGCTTGAATGGGAGTTCTGATTCGGACCCCCGGGGAGTGTTTCTTCGGATTATTAAACTCCAATGTAATATCTCCTTCATTTTCAGGGGGATTTTTGCTCTGATTAGTAGAATAAGAAATCCTCTTTTTGACTTGTTGCTTCAGAGGAATTTCTTTCATATCTGAGTTTCAACTTGGTGTCATGAAGTAAAAGACCAACAGTGTAAAAATTAGCTAAATGACATTGCATAGCTGGCCCTACCCGAGAAAACCGTAGCCTAGCTTGCAAGCCGACTCTCACAGCAGTTTCCTCTCGGGAGATGGAATCAGCATCAGTTTGCAACCAAAGTCTGTGCTTGGTGGGATACTTCCTATGCAATGTAATATATCAAACAATTTATCTAAAGCCATGGAACTTGCAGTTCTAACTCTGCATTATCCCCCGTTTGCCAGAAATATCCCAAGGATTGTGTAATAAACACATTGGGGGTCTCCCCCTGCAGGCTTTGGTAGTTCATGCATGCCTGTGGAAGGGCAGGGACTTCTCAGAACAGGGATGTAACATAAACTAGAAAAGCACTCGGAGAGCGCAGACCTCCGCCAAGCAGCTCATGTCCCCCCTTAAACAAGAAATGCCCTGACTGGGATTCAAACCCAGGACCTTCTGGTTGTGAGGTGACAGTGCTAACCACTACACCACTGTGCCGCCCATTGGTTATCTTTCAGCATTGAAAATTCCAACGACACCCTTATTTTTGTGTGTTCTGGATCACAGTATCCAGAATTTTGTCCCGATCACCACCAAAATTTAATGGGATCCTCCTGGGGCTGAGACGCACCTCTGGTAAAAATGTCAGGTCAATCCGTCTGTAACTTTCTCCGTAAAGTTGCTAACAGACAAACAAACAAACGCTACCAAAAACATAACCTCCTTGGCGGAGGTTAAATATAACAATTACATGCAGTAACTACTTCTGAGTTTACTTTAATTCTGCCATATTGATAAAATCAAGCTAGATTTTCCTCTTTTATAGGTTTTTATGCATTATCACTTCCACGGGGCTCCCAATGCTGAAGGCTATCAATGTGACTGGAAATATCCTCGGTAAAATGTTCATTTCTGTGTGAGTGAAACAAATGTGTATGCCTGAGACAGGTGAAGCGTCGAAATCCCTCTACATTCAACAGATTGAGCAAAAAGACATCTGTGCCAGTTTAAAGGTATTTAAGGTCTAAGCGAACTGTTCGCTCTGTGGAACATAATCAAATTTCATCCTGGAACCTGGACAGGAATCAGTCTAAATGCTCAACATATGGATGCATACATAGTGAAACCTGAAACAGCTTGTAAGTTAACTCTTTTAATATGTTCCCATTGCTTTGAGCCAAAGATTAAAACTGTGATTACAAAATATTTCGCTGGCCTCACAACTTGTTGAAAGAAACAGATTACTGGGGCTGTTTGGCAGTTGAATTCAGACTCCCAGCCTTTTGAGAGGTTGAACAGATCATGGGGTAATGATGTCAATCTGTCTGCTTTTCTAACGAGTCGGCGTTAACATTCGGTTCCCCTCCTTAACTCCACATGGAGATCCACGTGGAGGAAGGAGGGAGTCCAGAATAAAAAGTCTGCTAAACAGCGAACTGATTATTCATCATGGAGGGATATTTGAAGTAAGACATGCTTTATTCAAGCGGCAAAGGAAGGGGGAGTTGAAATATTGATGACTCAAGAAAGGGAGTAGAAAATGAAATTTACATGAGGTTGTGAATCACAGATCTGCGGAGGTTTTAAGGAGGCTGAATGAGTGACCCCTAAACACACAAATCCACCAAATGTGACAGCAGGGACAGTTTTTTTTTTTCCCCATGTAGACCGCACTCCTCCTGCAAGAAGACCTGTAGCTGCGAGCGCACCCGACAGGCTGCTCCAACGACCCAGCGAGGAATACTAATAACGAGCAGGATTCTGGGATGGAATAAATCAGAGCGGAAGATTTTGCGCGACCCGCTCGACTTATGCAAAACGCTTCCACATCTTGGCTGAGGGCGTTTTCGGTGAAAGTTTATCAAACTTCCGCGTGGCGCTCGCAGCCATCCCACTGTTCAGGAACATCTTTCACGGCTGTCAGTTTACCGCCGGATGTGAATTATGCAGAAAAAGCCGAAGAAACGTCTCTGAAAGGCCGCGCGGCGGATAGAAACATTCTCTTAAAAAACACAGATGTCATTCCCTGTGACAAAAGATGCCGTCGTGGATTAAATCTGTTCCAATGTTATGATAGTATTAGCATCATGTCATTGCATTTAGCGAGCAAATTGAAGCAAATAAAGGATTATATTTGACAGCATGTTTCATTTCTTCATGTGATGGATGAGTGGATTTTCAAAGGGTGTAGTCCTGTGAATATGTGACACTTGAGTTGATCTTCCCAACCAACTAAAGAATAGATACCTCAGATTATTTGCCTGTTTTCTGAGCCGCGAGCCTTTTTCTCAGCTTTGATTTATCTTTGATGTGCTAAGTTCATTAGCAGCAATCACTGAGGCTTGTCAGAACCGCGCTAAAGTGATTTTGTTAATGACTCTGGAGATGGATCATCCTGATGTATGTAGGCGTCTCGCAAGGAAAACAGAATAATGTGGCTGCACTTGAAGCCGGCGTTCCATAGGATCATCGAACACTCACTCGGTACAGTCAATACCTTCTCATTAAGAGGGAAAACATGAGAAAATAAAAAAAAAAAAGTTGTCAAAAGTACGCTCGCCTTGCTCGGTTGCAAGGGTTGGATGCACAGAGGTGTGTCTAATAACATCAGAGCTCAAAGAGAAACAGGGGATTCTCAGAATCTGTTCAAAGTGTGTGCGCAGGGGAATTAGAACAGAAGAAAACAAGGTGATAAACACAAATCCGATTCTTAAAAACTCAGAATACCGTGTAAAATATTAACAAAAACTAAATAGTGAAAAGACAACATGTCAAATGGTAAGCCTGGTGAGATCTCAGCTGTCCAGCATTGATCACCCTTTTGCCTTTTGTACAGCAACTTTTCCAGATGTAATATCATTACCATTAAGACTGTTGAACTGTTTCCTCACGCAGTCTCTCACAAAGTTGTTAATCTCCTCCAAACTTAAAAGGATATTCATTTCTTTATCATTTCCATTAAGTAATAATCCCCATATTAATAATTTTACACTGCAGACCCTGTAGTTCTTCTGCCTTAGCGTCTCGGTCTGATTGCTGCAGGGTGACGCAGCTCAAGGAAGAACATTTATGATCATGTTTTAATGGAAATGCAGTCTGTAATGGACTTGCCCGAGGTCTCACTACAAACAAGCGGCTGCTGGAAGAGAGTAGGTGAGCTGTGTTTAGGCTCTTTGCTGCAGAAATCAAAGTTAAAAAGATGTTTGGTGGCCAGTGCTATGGCTGGGACCCTATATGTACTGTTGATGAAGTAGAGTGGCGTTTTGGTTGAGGTTTGTGTATGGCTCCTCAGACCACTGTGTATTGCTATCGTGCGGTCGTTACTAAAGTTGGTATAACCAGAGAAGAAAGCGGTCTGCAACATTCATCTCTTGAGGGGGTGTCTAACTCAGTGTTACGGTGTGTTTGACCCTAAATTAATTTTACGCCAGATATCCCTTTAGCTTCTGTGGGACTCAGCCTACCCACACCTAATGTGTTGGATTTATTTCTAAATTCACCCTGCCTGCAAAAAGATATGCTGTTAGTGGACACAGGCCCTTAGATTTGTGTCACAGTGCCCTCCGAACTTTAAGAACATCCTCAGGGATGTCAAGTCTGTGATAGGGAAAGCACACCTCCCCTTCCTTTCTTTTGTGTGCTTAAAAACAGACCATACCAGCACAAAACCTGACATTAGTGGACACAGGCCCTGAAATATTATGCACAGTAGGGTTCTGTTGTTGGAGTTTCCTGCAGTTCGTCAATGCGGTGTGCCCAGCCTGAGGTTGGGTGAGCAAACCTCCCCTGCCCTTCTTGCGTATATTTGAAAATAAAATCGCAAACCTAAAAATGCCAGAATGGAAACAGGCCCTTAAATCTGTGTCACAATATCTTCTCATTCAATTTTAAAAATTTACTTCAGTGAAGACCACCGTTGTCAAAAATGATGATTATTTGCATACTTTAACAGTGATTTTTTTTGCTATGGCATTGCTTGTGAAACTCCCTGCCCTTCCACATACATAGGGGGGGGAGCACATCTCCTTAAAAAAAACTCCCCAGCACAAAAATGCTGTTAGTGGACACAGACCCCTTAAATTAGTGTCATATTCTCTTATTTAACACTCAAAATACACTTTATGAAGCACCAGTTTGGTCTCATTTACATATTTAAAAATAGATTACGCCAACTCAAATAGGCACACACACATAAATGTTGTCAGTGGACACAGGCCCTTAAATTTAGGCCAGTATTAAACAAACACTAAGACACAATCTGTAACTAGGAATAAAAGTTAAATGTAGAGATGGCTCTGCAGTTCCAGCTTTCAGTCTCTTAGATACATATGCAGATCTGTAGGCTGCTATGGTGCATATCTATTGTCAGATATTACAGACAGCTTGCGGTATCTTTGATACCCTTGGGGAGTATTTGAAAATAATCAGCTCAAATAAAAAATGGAACAGTCTGGGGTTTCATGGGTCATGAGAGTTAATCTGTTGTGTCGGTTGCATATCTAAATTGTTCCTTTAAGCACTTGTATAAATATCAAAATAGCCTTAATTAATTTCAAATGAGACCCATTTAAAGGAACATAACTGGAAAACATATGTCCACATAAATAATACACTTGAAAATATCCCATATGCCATGTTGCGTGACTTCTGCGCTACAGACCCCGACCCCTCGTGGAATTAATAGACCAGCAGCTTGCATCACGCTGTTGTTGTTATTGATTTTAAATGACATGAAGAATAAGCATCTTACACTGATGTGCGCTGAAATGTTATCATGTTAGCAGCAGAGGCCCCAGCAGACACACAACACCCCGAGGCTTCCACTGTGGAGACTCCAGCTCTCCCTCACTCTCCGTCATTCACACATACCGCCGACTCCCATGGGCTCCACCACACCAGCATCACCATTAGGCCGCTGCATTGATCCCCACTCTTCATATAATGGGCCTGCAAAAACAGAGCACAATGCAAGCAGCTCTCCTAAGGAGCTTAGTTCTGCTGCAGCCACCGTTGATGCAATTAATGTATTATTTAGCAGAATCAGTGATTAGAACATGCACAATTCCACTTTTAGCGACGCACAATATGGGCTGCTGTCATTTCCCCTGACTACTGGCTCGAAAGGCAGATTACACGGGAAAGGAAGTAATTGCAGAAAACACACACTGCGGCATCCTCTAAATGTGATTCTGTCTAACAGCTCCCCATAGGAGAAAGAAAAAAGCCGTTTCAGGACACAATCCATAAATTCATGCATTTTTCTCCACGTGAGCATTTTTGATGAGTGTGGTGTAAAAGCCCTCCATGTTTTCGTTTCCCATCATGCAATATGAGAAGTGTTTAAGGATGAAAGGGCAGTGTATTGATTTTAACACTGCAGGGTTTATCAACTGTTTAATTTCACTACAGGCTCGCGAAAGAGCTCCTTGTTAAGATATCGATCCGAAGTTGGCAATCACAGAAGCCGTTATGACGATCAGCTGGTCCTTGGAAAGCGGCTTGTTAAGTGGCTGTTACCTTAACTCCTCTTACGACTGAATCCCTCTAAACCTGTGCTCTGTATGTGCTTTAAATACTCAATCAAGCTTTTGTGATCAAAGCAGGAAGTCGTTTCAAAGTTGGGTTCCTGCATTTAAAGAAACTTCTTGGTTCACAGTTATAAAGTTTGTTCATAAAACACTCTCTAAAGAATAAATTCCTTTTACACAGGGAGCGTTTTTTTCAGGTGATTATTTTGGACGTCAATATTTTTTTTCGAACCCGTATCCTGTCCATACAAGCGTTCGCATCAGAGATGTTTTCCCGTCCTGCGATTTTGCAGCATTTATTTTTTTTGTATCACGGTTGATTTTTCTAAAGTTTGGCATATTGTCTGTCCACTTCTGACCAATCAGATTTCGTGTTGTTGCGACGTCAGATACACCAGTGTATCCAACATGGCCGACCAGCTGATTGTTTACGTGTCGGAGAACAGAGTGCTTTTTGATAAAAAACACAAATACTACAAAGATAACAACCTGAAGGAGAACTTGTGGAGAGTCACAGCGTCGGATTTCTCATATGACGATGGTTTTTGTGCTTTAACAGTTTGCTAAACGTCTTTGTTTTAACTTTCATCTGTGCTAAGTAACTTTAGCTCGTAAGCTAACCTGTTCAGATACAACATACCATATGTATTTTCACTGTCTCAAACTCAATTGCGTTGCTGTCACAGCACCATTAGGTCTCGGTTGTTACCTTACGTTTATGGATTATAGTTTCATGTGCTTATCTGGTACTGGCCCCGACTCAGTACATGCTATCATGACAGACAGCCATCTCAACACTAGCGTCTAATCAGAACTGAAAAACAGTCAGTCTGCTGTTGTGTCAGTCTTCTCGCTTCCACCCGCACTCGTCTCTTTTCACCCTGGAAAGTCGCAAAATCGTATCACGCTTGATGTGTTTAGTCAAGCATGTCAAAATTCACCTCCAAATATTTCATAATTTTGTGTCGTATATTTGCATCGTTCCCAGTGTGTAAGGACCTTTACCCTGTTGGATTCCACCATCTTTGAAAACATCAAACACGTCCAAGAATGTGAATTTGGAGCGTTTATGGTGTTGTGATTCAATTCAGCTCCCAGTCTATAAAATGTTTTTCCATTTACAACTGCAGTAAAATGGGTTGAAAGGGATAAGTGGAAGTGTCATAGGGTTGGCTGTGACGCTTTCGTAAACACAGTATTAAAACAGATAAATGGGAAAAAGAGACAAGCCTAGATTCTTGTTTTCCCACCATTCTCATTCCATTTTTCTCACATCCTCTGCTTCCTGGAAATACAAAGAAAATGAGCATGTATACGTTGAGGAAAAAAGCCTTGACAGCTAGTTATTTATTTCCATTTATAGACTTCAGACGCAAGGCGATTCCTCTGAACAGTACATTTTAACACATTCCCATCAAATTAGAGGCAAGTGTCTCTACAGGCGATGGAGATGTCTCCCACACATACTCACCTGTCGAGAAGAAGGAACACCTGTCAGAGGCGGCACACTCTCTTGTTCGTCTGAAACGTCTAAATGGTGACAGTCCAATTCAGTCGTAGTTAAGCCCAAAGGTATCACAGTAGCCTTGGACATAATTTGTAATCAGTTGCACAACAGCAACTCAATAGCACATGATTGGAGCGCTTCACTCAAATGTCTTCAACTTAGTGTTAAACCGACCAATCAGGATGAGGTGTTGGCTTGTGGTTGCCCCTCAAAGGTGGTCTGCTGGTGTGTGAAATCAGGCAAGAGTTAAAAGCTTACGTGAATAAAAACATGGATTGTGTAAAGGATTGGTTTTCTCAGAGCATGGCACAGTTTGATAAATTGAATTTGTGGATGTTGTGATGAACTGTGTGCAAAGACAACACTTTTTGGAGCCAATGCGGTGACTTCCACTTCAGAGTCATACCTGTATTTCTAATGCGGCGGCACATCGAGGTTGAATCCAGCCATCCAGCATGAGTTACCAGCCTTATACGCTTTTATACAGAGATTTTTAAAGATTCTTAGCTTTTTTGTTGTGTTGTTCACTGTAGGTGATGAAATCCCCAAACCCTTTGTCTTTTTAGTGGTT